CATTGATATTCAGGGATATGATCTCCATCTGCAGACTCTGTGATGTCATCTTATACCTTTTGTGTTGGGTGTTTTCCTACTTTCCTTTCTCATTAGTGTGTTGTGCATGTGTGTGTGTGTATCATTTTTGACTTCCTTCCATCCTTAATCCAATGCTATCTTGGTGTCTGTTTTCTCTTTGTTGCTCTCTGGGTGAGGTTGTTCTATGTGGCGGTCTCTTATTTATGCTTGGTGAGTGTTGTTCTTCTGCCCATACTGGGTCGGCAAGGATCTTTTGTAGGGCTGGGTTTCTTCTAGCATATTCTTTGAATTTTTCCTTGTTTGGGAAGACTCTTACTTCTCCGTCTATCTTGATCGATAATTTGGCTGGGTAGAGTATTTTTGGGTTTGCATTGTTTTCCTTCAATTTTTGGAATATGTTACTCCATTCTCTCTTCTTCTTCATAGTTTCTGCTGATAGGTCTGAGCATATTCTTATTTGGGAACCTTTATATGTAATTGCTTGTTTTTCCCTAGCTGCTTTCATGATTTTCTCCGTTTCCTCAAAGTTGGATACTTGAACTATTATGTGCCTTGGTGACGACTTCTTGGGATTCAGTCTAGTTGGTGTTCTTTCAGCCTCCTGAATGGTTACATGGTTTTCATTCATTTAGCTGGGGAAGTTTTCCTCCAAGAATTCTCTCACTATTGTGGCGATGAATTCTTTGTTGTGTCTTCCTCCTGTAAGCCAATACTTCTTTAAAAAAAAAAAAAAATCCAGTAATTCTAATGTTCCGCTTCATAGCATCAGACATAGCTCTTAGGTTTTCTTCAGTTTCTCTGATGATCTTATTAGATTTTTGTTCACGTTTGTTAAAGTCTGCTTGCCTGTCCTCCAAGTCACTGATGCAGTTCTTGGCTTCCTCCAGTCGATCCTCGAGGTCTGTGTTTCTGCTACTGGTTTTTGTTATCTCCTCCCTAAGCTCCTGTATTACCCTTTGGTGTATGACCTTTATCTCCTCTATCATTTCATCCTTTTTCTGTATTGTTTCCCTCACATCCTGTATGACTTCAAGCATCATTCTGAAAATTTCTGTTGTAGCTCAATGTCTGCTTCTTCTATGCATGTCGTTATGTTCGGGACATCTTCTGCCATTGCATTTTGTTTCTTCTGGTTTTTTTCTTTGAGGTTATTGGGCCTGATGGCTGTTTATGTTGCGTTGTTTTAGAGGAGCCAGGTGCCATTTTCCAGGGAATCGAAGAGCACTGGATGTCTCTGGGAGATTTGTAGGACTGCTTCTTCGAACTGCCTACAGCTAATTTCACTATGGAATTAACCTACCTCTTTATTCTCCTGTGGCTTCCCTCTCAAGGGAATGCCCCAGAAGGCTGGTGAGTTGCCTGCTTTGGTGTGGGGAGCAGAAGTATTTCTCTCAAGCTGTCTCCCCCCAAAATATGTATTGAGAATGACTGTACACTAGGCGGTCAGCGAAAGTAGGTCAGAGGTTATTCTTCTTAACATCAGCCATCTAGAGTGGCCAGACTGTATAGTCTGACTCACCCTAAGCAAGGCCCAGTCCTTTCTGTTATTGTTCCCTTGAAGCAGTGCCCAAAGGCAAGCCCAGGACCACTCTAAGATGACTAAGCTTAGGCTACCATCTTGCCACACATGCCCCCCTATTCCCTCCTCTTACTATTGTGCATACACCCCTAGGTCATCCCCCTCCTATTGCTTGTATTATTTATGTTGCTACCCCTCCCTATGACGTAGGTTATTGTCTGCTATCGGGGCTTGCATGCCTCCCAGGGTAGTAATTGTCTGTTTTATTGTATGAGACACCAGAGTGATCAAACTTGTTCAAGGATGAATTGTACTGCCCCTCTCTGTGATGAATAATGCTGTGATGTATCCCCCTAAAGTAATATGATGCATGGTTAGGAATAAATAAGGAAGCTCCCTGGTTCTCGGGAGGGTGGCTGAGGAGGACCAGGCAGCTGCTTCTACTCCGGCAGCTAAGTCCCCTCCACGAGGACCATCGAGTGGGGCTGAGGTGAGCAATGCTACCATGAATTGCGTCTGACTCCATTACTTGACTCCATCTTTTAACTCTCATGCTCTCTATAACTTTACTATAATCTCTACTTATTATCGCTGTACAATTGTGTCTACTGAACCTGTGATGTTTTGTGGGGTTCCCTCTCCCCTTTAACCCCACACTTTGGTGTTGTGGAAGTTGGGCAGAGGTTCCTGCAGCAGCTTGGAACATTGACGAGTGTTGGCCTAGCTGCCTTAGGCCCCCGGGCACACAGGCAGGAATTCCCTCGCTAAGAAGTTGGGTGGAGTATCCCCTGGTGGAGGTTGGCAGGGCTTTTCCCAGCCTTGGGCTAGCTGCACAGGGTCGAGCTCACCTAGCTGGGTGTGGTACAGGCGTTAATGCCCTACGCTAAGGGGAGTTGTCTGGAGGTCAGCAGTGGAGTGTGAGAGAACAGGAAAGAGACAAAAAGGATTAAAAAAATTAAAAAGTATGTCTGCTGAGATATAGAGAAGAGAGGGAAACAAAAGTAGCAATATAACTGAGTCCTGATCCCTGCCCGTGGAGCTGCAAGGGTTTAGTCCCTGCCGTGAGGCAGGCTGTGGCAAGCTGTGGCTGTATTGAGATTAAGCCCCCAGGCAGGCTCCAAATGGTCCCAGCTCTGGCAGAGACAGTGGCTTGGCTAAGGTCAAGCCCTAGCTGTCCTCTACTGTGACAAGCCAAAAGCCCCCAGCCCCTCAAAACCCCAATGGGTCTGTGCCTACGTATCTTTGTGATGCACCTCCTGTGTTCCAGCAGTGTTGAATTTCCCTCTAAGCAACTTTCCTGGGCTTAATTCTGCCGAGTTCCTCTGGTATGTGTTACTCTGTCACCATCGTCTTGTCCTTTTGCATTTTTTCAAGCTTACTTCAGCAGACTTATGCTGTACTTTCCCTTTTGTCATTAGCCACCTTTGAAGGAAATATTTGGGAATTTTAAGATGGTTAATCTGACGGACACATCTGGGATTTAAGTAGCGACTTTTGTTTGTGCTGCTTTGTTTTATGTTGTGCTGGTTTGAGACTGTTAGACTGCTTTAATTGTTGTCACAAAGAGTATCATGCAAGAAAGCGGGCAGTGACTGCATAAGCCCTTGAGTTGACTTCAGAACTCTGAGTGTGTGATCTCTCTGTGCCCAAGATGGAGCCTGTACGGACCAAGACTGCTTGGGGACACCTGTTGTGTGGACACTTCTATGCATCACTCTTAATTAGGCAGTTACTGTGAAGCGTGCCTTGTAGGAAAACTATTTATCTTTCTTTGGTGTAACAAGGTCCTCTAAAGTAAAAGCATTTTTTAAAATGAATATTTTAACTTCATGTGGTGTTATTAAATTAGATCATTTTAAAGGAACTCTGATTTGATCTTATGCCATCTGTATGGTCATGAATTTGATAATTTCATATAATAAAGAATTTGAGGGAAGGAATTTAATTTGGACACATTTTTGTGCTTATAACCACCTTGCAATCAAAATCTTTGAAACTACTTTAAGTTAGATGTTACAAAATCTGTTTCAGTAAGTATTTGGCACAGGTTTCACAGCTGAAGTTTTGCAGAGGGTAAATGTTACTAACTGTAAAACAAACAATTGGGCTGCTTATCGTTGCAGCAGTAAGAGGGGTTTTTTTTGTTTTGTTTTTTGTTTTTTTGATGACTGGTTTGATGATTCATTCATTGGAGAATCAGGCTTCCAGGCCCAGGACAGATTCAGTTCTCCAAGCCACACGGTATTGAAAAAGCTGATGCTCATGTTTTTTTTTTTTCTTCTCAGCAAATTGCTACCATTTCCTAACATTTTGAATCTTCATGAATGTCACAAAAGTTTTTTATTTAATATGTTTCTAGTTTACTTATGTTAACTGATAACTTGGTCACAATTCTGCTTCTCATTGATCAACAACGTGAAACGCTTTGCCCTTAGCCTGAGCATCTTTGCTCTGACACTGGTCAGTTCAAGGAGGTAGCAGTCTCACCCTCAGGGACACTGGGAGTGGCCTGGGTGGGTGTGTGGGGGCCCTTAATTTTCATTGGAATACTAGGGATGCGTGGTCATGTGCCATACCCTGACCAAACTGGGCACGTTTTTTAATCTTCATGGGGTCTATGTGCCCTCCTCATGGTCCCTTGCCTGGTTCTGTAGCCCCATTTGCACCTGCGATGACTTGATCTGCAGCCAGCCAGGCTTGTGTGACAAGTCTCCTTTGTTTTACCTGCTTTTTCATTTAGCCACGTGGACACCATTATGGCCTCTGCTGGTCTTCTCCCTCTTTCAAATGATTTGTCTTTGTCTTGTCTTTGTCCTGCTTAAGACTTAATAAGGGGATCTCTACAGAATACTTTAAAAAATAAAAATATTCATAGTCCTCTGATCTTAACACACTGCGCCAGGCTGCTCAGCAAAAGGGAGGTGATTTGAACCCACTAGAGCAGTGGTTCTCAACCTTCCTCATGCCACGACCCTTTCATACAGTTCCTCATGTTGTGGTGACCCCCCCAACCATAAAATTATTTTCGTTGATACTTTATAACTGCCATTTTGCCACTGTTGTGAATGAGGGGACCCCTGTGAAAAGGTCGTTCAACACCCCCCCACCCCCCGCAAAGGGGTCGCGACCCACAGGTTGAGAACCTCTGCACTAAATGATCTGCAGGAAGAAGACATGAAAGTCAGCTTCTGTGATGATTGCAGCCATGGGAACTCTAAGGGCCAGTTCTACTCCGTCCTGTAGGGTTGTTATGAGTCAGAACCCACTCAATGGCCATGGTATTATACTTCTAGTTCATAGCCTCTTGCTTTGTAGATCTAGATTAATTAATTAGAAAGCAAGAGCCAAACTTTTATTTTAAAAAAAGGGTGGGGGGAGAAAGAAAAACTCATTTAATGACCTGTATTTCAGATGAATGTTTTAAATAGAAAATTTTTTTGGGGGGGTGCTGATTTTTCAGGATAATCCTCTGGAATTTTTGTCATCTTTCCTGCTGAAGAAATGTACTAAGAAGAACAAAGACTGTGAAGGAAATAGTACTTGGACAAAATGTGACCCAAAGTCAACATTGAGCTTATTCCTGAAGGTAAGGTTGTCGCTGCAGTTTTCATCATTGCTTCCCTGAGCTGTGGGACCCGTGTGATGAAGGAGCCCACTGACAGAGGAAGCATAAACAGCCTTCATGCCACGAAATACCATGTAACTGCAAAGAATAATGAGTCCACGCAAACACCTTTTAACCTGGATAAATCTAGAGGCTATTTTGCTGAATGAGATAACTCAATTACAAAAAGACAAATACTGTATTGTCCCACTGTATTTTAAATTGAATTTAACTCAGGATTAGTTACACATACAGCAAGCCAAGTCTTTTGAAGGTTACCAGGCATGGGAGGGAGAAGGGGGAGGAATCACTGACTCCATCGGAGACACTAGTTATTTTTGGTGACGGGAAAGAAAGGTAGGAAAAAGAGCAAAGACCTTAAAAGAAATGTAACTTGGATAAAATGTGACCCACAGCCAGCAGTCTGCTGAATCCTGAAGGTAAATTTCTTGCTGCATTTTCACACCATTGCTTCCTCGTACAGTTAGACACGTGTGGTAAGGGAATTCATCAACAGAATGGAGACCACTACTTGGCAATCTCCCCACTTGTCATTTCCCCTAAGAACTTCATTTTCCTGGAAAAGTTCCCCCAAAGTTAGTTTATCATGGGATGAATGTCTTTATCAGAGATACATTACCCAGGAAAGTGAAGGCGTTACTTACACCACCTAAAAATATTAACTGCAAGTCATGCTGGCTTCTGTTACCCCCTTCGGGTTATGTGAGAAGAGCAGGCATTTCTACTCTGTCTTGTGACTGAGTGGAGTCCTAACAAACCCCAAGGAAAGAACTTGTTTACGCAGTTTCACTTTATAGTACAGGGTACTTTTTGTGAAACTGAAGAAAAAAATTTTTTTCCTCTTACTTGAAAGCCGTGGTGATATAGTGGGTTATGCCCAGCTGGGCTGCTAGCCTCAAGGCCAGGAGTTCAAAACCACCATCTGCTCCACAGGAGGGAGATAAACCATGCCACTCCCAGAAAGAACTGTATTTTCAGACACTCACAGGGGAAGTTCTACACTGATCCATGGGGGTCGAGATGTGTAGGAATTGATTGTATAGCAGTGAATTTTAGTGGGTAGAGATTCGATGTTGTAAACTGATTTGTCACTGTCTGGGGCACCCAAGGGAGCCATGATGGTGCCGTGGTTAAGTGCTCAGCTAATAGCCAAAAGGCCAGTGATTCGAACCCCCCAGATTCTCTAAGGGCTAAAGATGTGGCCATCTGCCTCTGTAAAGCTATCAGCTTGGTGTCTCTATGGGGCAGCTCTACTCGGTTCAGTCGGATTGCTCTGAGGTGGAATCCACTCAAAGACAACGGGCTCAGTGTTTGGTCTGAGACCTTCTGAGCTTGATTTTCATCTAACATCTGCAATCACTTGCTACCTATGCATCTATTGGAGCCCCGTGGACTCTTTGTAGTGAATGCCCCTAAAAGGTAAAGAATCAACACTTACATGCCTTTATTTTAAAAAGAGAGGGGTCCACAGAAATGGGCATTTTAGTATTATATTTTTTACTTTACTTTTTTAAACTGTTGTTGGTCTGTTTTTAGTTTTACATGTGGAGAGAAGTGCAGAAAGGTATATGGATTGTATAAGAAGCATTTTTATCAGGTGAGAAAAAAAAAGTAGTGGTGGTGGCCAAGTTTGGAAACTGCGAGCTTTTCCATCTGTCATCTCCCCTCTTTGCACCTCTTTCCCCTGGAGGGAGGAGGGCCTGTGTCCAGGAACGGGTGCTGTGGTAGGACCCAGTGAGAATTGGCGCCCTCTGCCCCTGCTTCCAGGGAACATGGGCACCTCAATGAATGCAGTTCCCTGATTAGTTCAAAGGGAGCCCGAGGCTTTCCATTTTTAATAGAAAACTCAAGAGAGGCGTCAGGTTCGTGAACTCCTTTACTTACTGTGGCTTGGAGATGAACTGCCGTGAGCTGGACTCAACTTATGGGCAACTGGCCATGTGGTTTTGTTTTGTTTTGTTTTGAAGGAAACACAGTAGATAGAGCTGACGACAGGTGGCTACTGAGGACCTCGGAGACCCCAGTCTGTGGCACATCCACAGTCCTGTCTGCTAGTAATCAGGTGTCCGTTTCATTTCTAGGAAATAAATGATGTGGGAGACACCAAGTCAAGTGGCAGGAAAGGCGATGGTCATGTGGAGTTGCTGGTTAAGCTGGTAAGTCAGCTACTGTCTGCTGCACATTCTTGGTGTGTTTTGTCCCTGGCAGTAGCCTGGCGGCCTTTCTCGGTGGCTCTCATTTTTCCTTCTAAGCTTTTAGTCTAGTTTGATGGGAGGGGCTCTTTGGTGATCCTGGCGACGAGTGATGACCCTTGGGGTCCTCCAGGGTCTCCTTGTCAAGGTCCCCTTCAACACTGCATGCTTTCCCTCTGCCCACCTCCTGCTTTCCTCCAGGAGAGGAAGCTCCAGAAGGACTCGGCAGAAAAGCGAACTCGAGTTGTCCAGGAGCTCTTCCAGAGTGAGAGGAAATACGTCCAGATGCTGGAAATTGTGAGAGACGTTTATGCTACTCCCCTGAAGGCAGCCTTGTCGTCAAACAGAGCCGTCCTGAGTGCTGCAAACATCCAGATCATTTTCTCTGATATACTGCAGATCTTGAGCCTCAACAGGTAAAGCTTGGATCAGTCATATTAAAATGCAGTCACATGTAGCAAAAGGAACCCACACGTGGTTGTTTCTCACGAGGCTCAGTCATTCCCTGCCCCTCTTGGAGACCTTGGCCTTCCTACCAAGGAGATGGGATCCTCACCACATCACTCCAATGTTGATTCTCAGGGACTTTATGTGTTCCCTGTGGCCGTGGTAAAAGGAATGGAGTTCAGTGTCTGGGAATTCTAGAATCAATAGACTGTACATGCAACAGACAAAGGGAGGGAGGCCCCAGAGAATTGCTCTTAATCAGCAGTGTTTAGGGGAGCAGTTGGGAAGAAGCTGAAGTCACTTAGTGGTATTGAGAGGGCTTCCCTGTTTCACAGTTCCAGAGATGACAGCCATGGTCAGTTGAGCCTGTGAGGGCGTTCTTGGTGTCCCAGTCAACACCACACAGCTCCAGTGTGGCCATTTAGGTGCCCGGTCTCTCGCCATTCATGGAGTACCAGATATTGGCTCTGGGGCCCTTGGCCACCATGAAGAAGAGGTCTCTTTCAAGGTTGTACTTGATCTGCATCATGGACTGTCATGGCCCAGCAATAGGATGTTGGCGATGATTTGAGAAGTCACTTCATGGGATTAAGTCATGTGGTACCCAGTGAACCTCAGGCTGGGAATCGACATGCTAACAGCATGTGTTCTCAGTTTATAACATGAGAAAGAAAACGGTGATTATTTCCACTGGTGGAAAAGTAAGGCAGACCGAGCTTGCATTTCTCTGCCAGTAAGTAGCTAGGCAACTTGGAACAACTTCCTTAGAATGCTGGCCTCCCAATTCTTAAAAATGATGAAGTTGAACTAAGCTGCTTCCTGCGTTCAAGGCCTGCAGTCGTTGCCTGATGAATGGTCTTAGATCCGTGGGGTAGATGGGCTGTTGAAATAAACTGAGCATTCTCCTCTGAAAACAGTAAGACACCTTGACCTGCCTGCCTGTCAGGCAGTGTACGAATGGGACACTCACCCTGGACTCTGGGCTGCTTATCTCCAACCTATTCATTCCAATCAAGAAATCAAGGTGGAGAGATGGGATTCCACCAGGGTCAACTTACTGCCGAGCTTCCTGGCCATCTCGTGGCTTCATGCCAAGACAAGCACTTGACAACAATAGTCCTGCCTCAGAGGGAAAGGCCGAAAAGGCCTGCATCGATACAACGCCTTTCGTTTCCAGGTTTATGGGTTCTGATTGGCTACTATTCACAGCCACGCTGTTCTCATGTTGCAGGCAGTTTCTACATAACCTGCGAGACAGACTACAGGAATGGGGCCCGGCTCACTGTGTGGGAGAGATATGCACAAAGTTTGCAAGCCAGTTGAACACATACACCAACTTCTTTAACAACTACTCTGTTGTTCTGAAGACCATTGAGAAGGTAAACTATAGGCTTGTCATCCAGTCACATTAGTAGACTTGCTGAGCTTGAAAGAAAGTTTTGTGTGGAATCCAAAAGACTAGGGCTCATAGAAAAATCTTCCCAACTCTCAGCTTCTAAGTTTCTTCTGAATGCTGGCACTTTTGAGGCCTGGAGCCATGATTCGTTTCCTGTGGTACACTAGGACCGAGCTTGGTGCTGGTACAGAACAGTGCCCTGAGTCTGGATCTGGAACAGAATGAATCCCCCTACCAACTGCCATGTTCCCATCTGTCCAAGACACCCTGGGTCCTAGCTTCAGGAACATTTTGAACAATTGAGTGGAGACAAGATTGTGAGCTCTGCTTCCACTCTGCTAAGACAATCCTATGCGACCTTGATGAGTTCCCCTCTCGAAAAGGGGCGTGGGCATTCACAGTTCATGTGTTTCTTGGAATAAGAAACGTAGGAAATCTCACTATGAAATAAAGAATGTCTTTGTTTTGCATTCCCTGTCGAGCTAACCCTGATGCTTGTAAACCCTTTTTCCTGTTGTGACTTTGGCATTTTTTTTTTTTTTTTTAATTTGAGGAATATTCAACCCCTACTTAACTGCCCTTGTGGAGATCTTTTCTGGTTGGGACAATCTCTCTCTCTCTCCCTTCTGCAATTTGTGGCCCTGTGACACACCAGAGCACTTTGCCACGTCACCATTGCTGTGGCTATCTGATTGCCCTGGGACCTGAAAGGGACACCTGGGGGCTGGGAGCCCTCTGGAAAATTCCTCTGATTATGTACAAGTAACATGACTGTCCTTTCGC